GCCTTGCCACGGGGTTGCCCGACGTGCCATGCCACAGCGTTGCCCAACTTGCCATGCCTTAGCCTTGGCCAACATGCCATGCCACAGCCTCGCCTCGCATGCCACGCCATAGTGTTGCCCAGCATGCCAAGGCCGAAATGCCATGCCACGGCCCCAGCCCGCATGCCATACCACAGCGTTGCCCAGCATGCCAAGGCCAGAATGCCATGCCACAGCCACGGCCCGCATGTTATGCCACGGCCTCAGCCCGCATGCCATGCCACGGCCTCGGCCCGCATGCCTTTCCATGGCGTTGCCCAGCGTGCCATGCCTTAGCCTTGGCCAACATGCCATACCACAGCCTCGGCCTGCATGCCATGCCACAGCGTTGCCCAGCATGCCTTGCCACGGCGTTGCCCAGCATGCCAACGCTGGAATGCCATGCCACGGCCTCGGCTAACATGCCACGCCATGACCTCAGCACGCAAGCCTTGCCACAGCGTTGCCAAGCGTGCCATGCCTTAGCCATGGCCTCGGTCAGCATGCCATGCCACGGCCTCGGCCCGCATGCCTTACCACGGCGTTGCCTAGTTTGCCATGCGACAGCGTTGCCCAGCTAGCCATGCCTTAGCCTTGGCCAACATGCCATGCCACGACCTCGGCCCGCAAGGCATGCCGCAGCGTTGCCTAGCGTAACAAGGCCGAAATGCCTTGCCACGGCCTCGCCCCCCATGCCATGCCATGCCACGGCCTCGGCCCACACGCCTTGCCACGGCGTTGCCTAGCATGCCGTGCCACGGCGTTGCCCAGCGTGCCATGCCTCGGCCCCGGCCCGCATGCCTTGCCACGGCGTTGCCAAGCATGCCATGCCACAACGTTGGTCAGTGTGCCATGCCTCGGCCTTGGCCAACATGTCGTGCCATGACCTCGGCCCGCATGGCATGCTACAGCGTTGCCCAGCATGCCAAGGCTGGAATGCCGTGCCACAGCCTCAGCCCGTATGTCGTGCCACGGTGTTGCCCAACGTGCCATGCCTTAGCTTTGGCCTACATGCCATGCCGCGGCATCGGCCCACATTGCATGCTACAGTGTTGCCCGGAATGCCAAGGCCGGAATGCCATGCCGCGGCCTCGGCCCGCACGCCATGCCACAGTGTTGCCCAACATGCCAAGGCCCGAATGCCAAGGCACGGCCTCGGCCCGCATGCCCTGGCATGGCGTCGGCCAGCATGCCTTGCCATGGCGTTTGCCCAGCACGCCATGCCACAGTGTTGCCCAGCGTGCCATGCCTTAGCCTTGGCCAACATGTCGTGCCACGGCCTCGGCCCGCATGGCATGCTGCAGCGTTGCCCAACATGCCAAGGCCGGAATGCCATACCACGGCCTCAGCCCGCTTGCCATGCCACGGCCTCAGCTGCATGCCATGCCACGGCCTCGGCCCGCATGCCTTGCCACGGCGTTGCCTAGCGTGCCATTCCTTAGCCTTGCCCAGCATGCCATGCCACAGCGTTGCCCAGCGTGCCCTGCCTTAGCCTTGGCCAACATGCCATGCCACTGCCTTGGGCAGCCTACTATGCCACAGCATTGCCCTGCATCCCGTGCCACGACCGTGGCCGACATGGCAGGCCACGACGTTGGCCAGCATGCCTAGGCGGGCAAGCCATGCCACGGCCTCGGCCCGCATGTCTTGCCACGGTGTTGCCCATCATGCCATTCCACAGTGTTGCCCAGCGTACCATGCCCTAGCCTTGCCCAACATGCCATGCCACTGCCTTGGCTAGCATGTGATGCCACCGCCACAGCCAACATGCCAAGCCACTACCTTGGCCAGCCTGCCATGCCTTCACCTTGGCCAGCATGCCATGCCACAGCGTTGCCCAGCATGGCGAGGCTGGAATGCCATGCCACGGCCGTGGCCGGCATGCCAGGCCACGGCATTGCCCAGCATGCCAAGGCACGCCATGCCACGGCCTCGGCCCGCATGCCTTGTGGCCGCCTTGGCCAGCATGCCATGCCACAGCGTTGGCCAGCAAGCCATGCCTTAGCCTTGGCCAACATGCCATGGGCACTGCCATGCCCAGCATGTCATGCCACCGCCACGGCTAGCATGCCATGCCACTGCGTTGCCCATTATGCCACGGCCGGCAAGCCATTCCCCGGCCGCGGCTAGCATTGCAAAGCCATGGCGTTGCCCAACATGCCAAGGCGGGCATGCCATGCCACGACCTCGGCCAGCGTGCCATGAAACGGCCTCAGCCCGCATGCCTTGCCACGGTGTTGCCCAGCATGCCATGGCGCCGTCTTGGTCAGCATGTGAGCACACCGTGCCACAGCAGAATGCCAAGGCCGACATGCCAAGCCACGGCGTTGGCCTGCATGCCATGCCACGGCCTTGGCCCTGGCACGTCCTTGGCTAGCATGTCGTGGCACCGCCTTGGCCGGCATGCCATGCCACGCCACAGCATTGCCCCGCAGGAAGAGGCCGGCATGCCCTACCACGGCCTCAGCTGACATGCCATCCT